GGAGGCACCGCCGCCGCGCCGCCCCGAGCCAGGCCGGCAGCAAGCCACGGCGAGAGCTAACGAGTTAATCAGGATCTCGCTGGCTGGCAAGAGCGGCGCCGAACCCCGAGTCCGCCTCGTTCATCCTGGGCCCTTCTTTCCAGTGATTTATATCCCCCAAGGAGCGAGCAATTCCCTCTCCGTGTCCGCGCTGCCCAGGGATTTTTCCTTTTCTTCTGGGGCAGGACCGATGGCACCAATTCCGGCAGCGGGTGCTATGCTTCACGAGTGCCATGAAATGCCGTTCTTAGCGCCTGGTTAATGTGAAAAACCTAACGCGAGGAAATATTATTAGTCAAAAGCGGTGCGGTAGTCGTTAGCGAGTGATGGCTGTTACCACGTTTAGCGCACCCACAGGGTTTGCCCTCATCTACTTACCCCAAAGTTGTTACATTTAACTCCTAGGAAGAATTCATTTGATTTATCCATAAATGCTTTTACCAAATAGACCTTTAAAACACCCTAAAAGTACCATAACAATCAACTCTCAACCTGTTTTGGCTCCACTAACTCTTCCTACTTTAGTCTGTTTAAAACAGAACGACGACTCTTCATATGAAGCAGGTTACCCCCGTTCCCCGCTGCAGGAGGTGTTTTAAATCTCCTTGCAAAGGCTCGATCCAGCTCCTGCGTCCAAACCTCCCGGCAGACACGGCCCTGACGGCATTTGGGGACCTCTGAAACCTCTGAGTGGATGAGTAACGCACGGGGAGCTGGTCCGCGCTTCGCCTGCCCGGCGGAGGGGAGAGCTCGCCCGCCTGAGCCTCCCCACGAGCTCCGGCGCTGGGTTTGGAACTGGGCCGGAGGAGATGAGCTCTGGAGCGAAGCGAAGCTCTTTCAGAGGAACAAATAAAATCTTGGAGATCGCTGGAGATAAAGGTGCCACAGCGCTGGCTGTGATGTGGTATCAAAGGGCAGCAATTAGTCCCTCCCGACGAGAAGGCAGCGCGCTGTCTTAACTAGTTGAGGGCAAGTACCTCCCTGGAGGGCAAAGCAGCCGCCTCTGCCAAACCTTTGAAGCACACGCAGTTCTCCCTGACACCACTTTGGTCTTTCCCGAGTTGTTTGAGCCAACTGGCCTTTATTCCGGCTCCTCCGGTGAGCCCAGCAGCGCCGCTGGCGCGGCAGCACCCCTCCGATCTCCCCCAAGAGAGCCTACGGCAGCAGGGATCTGCCCGTCGGGGCCCCGGGGCGCGTGGCAGTAGGAGGGGCCTCACCGCCGCTCCACCGGCTGCGGGAGGACACCCCTGACTGCCAGCTTTGTGGCAAGCAGCCTCAAAACACGGGGCGTAGAGGGCGAAAGGGCTTTCACAGTTCCTCCTCTCGCAAGGGTTTCCCACTTGCTGAGGACAGGACTGCATTTCTGTTACGGGGAGAGGCAGAAATCATCGCACGGACACAAAAGAAAAGGGGACTAAAACATCCCACCTGCAGTTACGGCTGGTCCTCTTCACTGGAGCGGCGGAAAGAGATATACAAACCAAGCCTGAAATTCCCATGCAAAAAAAAAAAAGAAAAAAAAAAAAAAAAAAAGGAAGTAGTCCATCTTAACGGCCAGTTAACGCTGTAACGTTGGTGTGAAGTGAAACCCGAATCCTGCCCCTGGACACGGCCGAGGGGAAGGTGCAGCTCGCCTCCCTCACCGGCAGCAGAAGTTTCAAGGAGCGCACCACCAGTACGCACCACCGCAGCAATTAGGGCCTGAGGGCCGTTAAACCCGGCTGTTCAATGTTGCAGGTTTTATAACGCAGGGCCACAGTGCTGATAATAACCCCGTTGTCCTGCCTACAACTCAACTTGCACTAACTGCATTTAATTTCGTTAGCTTTACGTTCCGAGGATATACTTACACAGCTCTTCGGGATATCCTGGTCATTCTCTTGTGTTGCAAGATAAGCAGCATTTTGTTAAAAAAAAACCCAAACAACAACCAAAAAAAAAGAGGAGACTCTGCTGCACAGCGAGCCCTGCACACCGAGAGGTTTTACAGCGCTCGCTGATGAGGCCGTCGCCAAAAAACTGGCGGCTTTTGGTCCATCTGTAACACATCAAACCCCGGCTGTTAGGATCAGGCCCTCCGTGTTCACTCCTTTCCTGCTCCCACCCTACAAGAACACCCTCTAACAACGCGGGTAGGCGCAAGGCACGCGGCTCAAACTAAGCGATTTTTGCCAAACTAATCAGGGTTACAACTTGAAATTAGAGCTTCAGCTGCCGTGAGCGTACAGAGACACACACGACGATAAACCTCCCAGCTTTGGAAATGCAGCAGCGTATAAAAAAAATATGAAGCTTCGGAGTTCAGGACCTAATAAAGCGACGTGGGAGTCAAAACCTGTCAGCGGAGTCATTTCAACAAAGCATCTTCAAAAAAAAAAAAAAAAACGAACACCAAGTGCATAAATGTAAAGTAATCCTTTTTTTAACGGGAAGAGTCCACATTTGACAGCGCAATCTGCTCTTAAACCAGAAGCTTCCAAAATCTCACTGTTTTACATCTAAACCAAGTCCCGGTAATACCAGGGGATAAGCTGGCATTATCTGCCTTTTGCAGAGGGAAGAAAACGCGGCCGTGGCACTCGCTTAAAGAAACTCGGCCTGTGATGCAACCGGGAATTCAACCCGGGCTCTCCGGCTGCCCCAAAGCCTCAATGCTCATCGGGGAACCGAGCCCAGAGGCTGTCAGGTCAAAAACTCCCCAGCACCGAGGTGGTAATGGTTTTTTTAATTTTTTTTTTTTTAAAAACAAAAAAGCAGGCTTTTTTTTTCCCCCCACGACTTTGCACAGGAAAAAAAACCCTCGCTCAGCTATTTCCACAGCCCTCCTTTCCACCAGCCAGAGGAGTGGCATTTATAACTCAAAAGACAAGGTTCGCTCCAGTTTATTATCAGCTTGAAAAGTTACCCCTTCGGCCCTGGCAACAGGCAAACGCTTTTGTTTTTAAGCCTCTCCAAGTGCCACAGCAGTTAATTACCACCTCGGTAGACGACAGGAGGCGAGGGGAGGCCATGTTAACTGCGATCCACTGGATCTGGCCATGGAGAACCCCCTCTGGGAACCCGGCCGTGGTTCGGCTGAAACGTGTGAAACAAAGGATTAAATTCGAGGGATTATTTTTCCCCGCCGCGGTGTATTAAAAGGGTGCTGCGCGATGGCAGGGCAGACGACGAGCGGAGCTGCTTTCACCCTTCCGCGAAACGTGTTTCCTAACCCAAATTTCACTTTCAGTATAAGCCTGAGCTGTTCCTCCCCACTTCGCTGCTACCGGGGGTCAGGCAGAAACCGGCTGGGCAGGGAGCTCGGGCTGCTGCTGCCCAGCAACGTTCAAATACTGTTTAACGCGGGTTTTGCC